ACGGCTCGTGCACTTGCGAGTATCACAAGTTGAGGATGCAGCTGAATCTATTTTGGTGCAGCTGAATCGACGCAACAACAAGTGAGAAGAGGCTTTCAAAAACATAATGTTAACCTAATTCTATTATTGTGTTTACAACTAATACATATGTGAAACTTAATTATTGATATTTTTGCACATTGCATTTTTGAAGCTTATCTGGTTGATGTCAATAAATTTTAACAGATTCAAACTGCAAAGGTAAGATTTTAAGCTAAAAATTTTAGCTAGTATATCCATAAAAAAAATTGTAGTTTTGCCCTTAAATGTACACATTATAATTACTTGCGCATATTGTGGTGCATAAAATGTGTCTTTGTACTATTTTAACTATCAATGTCATGTGTAGTTGTGCAACCTAACCAATCTCTTTGCATTTTTTTTTTGTCACTTACGTTAGAACTCGCATTCTTAAATATGCAATCTTAGAGTAAAAAATTTGCACAAATGACCATCATTTTTCTACAATTACAAAGCAAACCTTTTCGATGTATACCCTATTGAGTATGACTTGTCACCTTATTACGAAAACAAAGGAAGTTGCTTACAATTCAATTAATTTTTTTTTATTTTATAAATAATAGTTTAAGGAAGTCTAAAGTCTAACCTCTCTTACTTAATCATGTCATTTTTAGACTAATTTAGGTTGGGAAGACTCTTGTCGGTGCAGTCCGTATTACCTAATATATATATAAACAAGAAGATTATGATAACATCAAAGTCTTAAAACAAAACCAGTCCATATCCAAAACCAATAGGACTATATGATATCATTTGATGGGGCCTCATTCCGGATACTTGGCTTTTGGGGAGAATCCGATGGATGAAGGTTTCGAAGGGTTAGGTGTAAAGACTAGAGAACTTGAACTTTTTCCTTTTGAAGTTGAAATCTTTTGTCTTTTTTTATACCCCTTTTTTCGGCCATTCTTCATTTCTTTAGGAGAAAGGACATTTTGAACAAACCTTATCACAACAACATTTGGGTGAGATAGCTTAATGCTTCAATTGTCTTTTACCACATTCATATCCAAGCTATGTATTTACAAAGAAAGAGGCGATGGTTATTGCTTTTATCATCATATGATTAAGACATTTCTCTATCTCTTTTGTTTTTTCCTTTCTACAATTCATTAATTACCAAAAAAATGACTTCTTTTTTTTCTTTTTCAAATGTCGAGCATAAGTTTATAGTTCCCTAAACAGAAGAGTAGAGTTGAGTCCAACCATTTTTCCCAACTTATATGTTATTTTTACATTAAGGGCGTAGCCAAAGTGAGGCTTGAATTGGCTTTGACCTCCACCTATTTTACAACTCCCTTTAAAGCATATTCAGGAGAGTCTTCAAATTTTAGTCAAATTTTAACTAAAATGGCTAAAAAGCTATTATGAGCCAAAGTTAGGCATGATTATAAAATAAAGAAGCTGCTGGAGCTAAAGTTTTCCTTTGTTATAGCCAAAATGGGTAAGGAGCAGTGTATAACAACTCTTACAGTTAAGTTTTGAATTTTAACAGCCAATCTAAAAATCCTGACTACGTCTCGCATCCAATTGAGTTCTATTCTAGTGCTGTCTTTTTAATGTGATAATCTGGTGTGGTATACAAAGTTGGTATGCGTAGAATTTTCTATATGTAAAATATAAACAAATATAAAAAAGAAGAAGAAAAGAAATAAAAACAAATATAATACCGTTATCAAGCATAAGTTAACTAACAGTGGGAGATTTCTCAGCTTCATGCCCAGTAACATCACTGCAATTTTAGAATAATATTTTATGGTTTTTGCATCTTGGTAACTGAGAGGAGGCACATTATTTTTTCTCCTTCTTTTGTGTTACCGAAGAAAAAATATAATTATATATACTTGTTTCAAGGTATCTCTGTATTTTTTTATTTTTGTTCTTTTGCAAGAAACCAAGTACTATCGACAGTTGGAAATACCTCGAAACCAAGTGTACGGTTGAAGACTGGAGGTTGGCTGGCCTTAAAGCTTTGGCCTTTATGAACAGTAGGCAAGTGGAAGCACAGCACACTGACTGGGAACTGGAGGGCAATTTGGGAAAGCAAAGATAGACACACACAGCAGCAGCAACTAGGCAACCAAAGTCTTCAGCTTGGTTTGGCTTTTGGGTGACTCGGTCAGTGTTTGAGCAGTCAAGAACAAGGAAAATGATTTGATAGTAACGTATATTTACACCAAGTATTTCTATAATTGTATTGCTTCTGTTGTTGTTGTAGTTGTTATCTCTGCCTCCTTGCCTTTGCCTTTGCCTTCTGCTAGTCTTCTTTTCAAACCAATCCTAAACCCCGCCCTCCCCCTTTTTTCCAACCACAACTCTCTCTCTCCGTGTCTGTTGAAAACCCACTTGTTGTTGCATCATTTTCTTCATCCTAACTCCAACTGATTAGAAAATGAGATCAAGATTCTAACAAATTTTATCTCTTTCTGTATAACCCATCTATTTGCATGCCGTTTTTCTCTCTTTTTTCACTCTTCCCTTTTTCAATTCACTCTCTTTAGTTGTGATAGTATTTCAATGGAGGCATCAGAGAATTGCTGTGTCAAGGTAGCCCTTCACATTAGACCGCTTATTGATGATGAACGCCTTCAGGGTTGTAAGGAATGTGTTACTGTCACACCCGGAAAGCCTCAGGTACTCTGCTTTCTGTTTGCAATAAGGAAGTGGGTTTCTTGAGATTGAAATTGTTGGTGTTACTGTATTTGGATATCTGGGTTCTGTTTTTTAAGTTAAAGATTAATGTAAGGTTTAGTTTGTCTTTTTGGTGCATAGTCAAATGAATTGTTGGTGTTTCCAGATTGTACCTCTGTCGAATTAATGGAGTTTTGTAATTTGTGTTTCATCTGTTATGTGTCTCTGTTTTTGGAAGCGGGCATAAAGCATGAAGAATTAGAAGCCATTCTCTCCTTCGTTTATGTTACTTATGGTTCATAGGACTTAACTACTTTGGTTTTTTTACAATCTGAAATTTGGTAACAACCCTATGGGGTAGTGTGTGATATAAATCCAGCTTCTCATTTGGTAAGTGTTAAATCATAGTCTGTTACATTTTTCTTTTCGGATATTTTCTGTTTCTACTGAGCCATCTGGATTTAGGAAAGTTAAGGTAGAAGGTGATAAATTTAGGAAAGTTAAGCATTTGGCATAATACCTTTTTTCATATTAGGTGGCTATGTTTGTTTTGGAATTTTTTCGCTTGCTGTCTTAGTTGCTAATAGTATGATCTTTGTTGACCATGGTGCAGATAAAAATTGGCCCACATTCTTTTACATTTGATCATGTCTATGGAAGTGGTGGAGCTCCATCACCTGCCATATTTGAAGATTGCATTTCTCCACTTATTCATGGTTTATTCCAAGGATACAATGCTACTGTACTCGCTTACGGTCAGGTAATGTCTGTCCTGTACAAAATGTGCTTTATGGTTGAACAAGACCTTGCATCTGGTCTCCTGTTATTTTAACAGTTGAAATATAAATATGCTGCAGACAGGATCTGGAAAGACATATACCATGGGAACTGGCTCTGGAGATGGCTGCCAGACAGGGCTGATTCCTCAAGTTATGAATGCATTGTTCAACAAGATTGAAATATTGAAGCATCAAACAGAATTCCAAATGCAAGTTTCCTATATTGAGGTACATTCCTTATATTGTTTATCTCCCTACTTTTTCATAGATATGTCCTCAGTCACGTGCTTCGAAAAACTTGTAAACCATATGCAATGACCAAAAGGAAAAGGCAAAAGGAAAGAGAAGTGGAAAATGTTATAAGCAGTCTTGATTGCCTGTATTATAGATGATAGATCCCAAAATATCTCTACTTTTTTAAAGGCGACTCGAAAAGGGACCTTCTTCTGGAGAGGGGTCCAACTCACAACAATGATAGTATGAGCAAGTCTTTCTACAATGGCTAGTTATCTATTACTTTTCATAGACCAATCTCTTGCCAATTGTTTTTTTTTTTTTTTCCATAATAACAGAATTAATTAGAGGGTTTAAATTTTCAGATTCTGAACGAAGAAGTGTGTGACTTGTTGGATTCTCTATCTATGAAAATGGAGACTACAAATGGACATGCTGCAAAAGTTGTAAGGCATCCGATACAAATTCGTGAAAAATCAAATGGAGCTATAACACTAGCAGGATTAACTGAAGTTGCTGTAAATTCGTTACAAGAAATGGCCACTTGCCTGGATCAAGGATCATTAAACAGAGCAACGGGAAGTACAAACATGAACAACCAATCTAGGTAAACCTTGAATTTCAAATTTTCTTTGCCATGCAAATTCACTTTTCACTGACTGATAAGGTCAGTTTCAATGGTTTTTTTTGGGTTCTGACCCCTAAATGCAATCTTCTTGGGTAAGGTCTGTTTGTCATAATGGTTGGAATATTCAATTGTTAAGTATATCCAATGCACTCATTACTTTTCAAATTTTAACATGAAGACTGAAAATTTTGTGAAATATCAAGGTTTATAAATAAAATTGGGAGGAACTTGGTTCTTTATACATATCTTCAGCCTGGGACATATTGATACAGTCCTTGAATTCAAATAATTTTGTTTCTGGTATTACTGTTTCCGAGATAAAAAATTTCATTTGCAAGGATGCATTAGTGTAACAATTGAAGTGCTAGAAATTCTTGTTACACTTACAGTTTAAGAGTGAATGCCCATAATTTAATGGCTTATGGTTCCAATTTTTATGGTGGTACTAGTCGATCACATGCCATCTTCACAATCACATTAGAACAGATGCGAAAAATCAGTTCAGCTTTTCCCGGGAATGACACTCCAGATGAGGATATGGGTGAAGAGTATTTTTGCGCAAAGCTCCATTTGGTAGATCTTGCTGGATCCGAACGAGCAAAGAGAACAGGTTCCGATGGTCTTCGACTAAAAGAAGGTTGGTAAACTGTTTCTGAATGTAATCGTAATGTAACTTTCAATCATAAAGTAATGAGACTTGTAAATATTAACTTATGAATAGGTATACATATTAACAAGGGACTTCTTGCACTTGGTAATGTCATCAGTGCATTGGGGGATGAGAAAAAGCGGAAAGAAGGTGTGCATGTCCCTTACCGAGACAGTAAACTGACCCGACTTTTGCAGGTTAGATAAACATGACTGTTCTGCCTGTTATGCCTGAGATATAATTTCATGTAAAATCTTAGCGTTATTTTTCAAATGTACATGCTGATACTGGCATGGCAATGTGTCCACATTACTTTTGAAACGTCACTTATCAAACATGAATGATACATTGGGGGATGAAGTTTCTGTTTTGGCTTGCTTTATTTTTTCCTGTTCTGATCTGGGTTCACTTGTGCATTTTGGCAGGACTCACTTGGTGGAAACAGCAAAACTGTAATGATAGGTAACCCGTACGAGCTTGTTACGATGATGTGTGCTTTTGTCCAGTGCCACTAAGAATATAGTGTGACATTTATTCATACTTCCCTTGCTCAACTATTTCATTGAACTGAGTGATGTGTTTTCCAATATGGAAATAATTTTTCATTGGAAGAAATAATATTGGATCATTTGTGTACTTTTAACAAGATAGACTGGAATTGTTCTCCTCTTTGATTGAAGATGGATGCCTTTCATGCTTCTTACTTTTGGTGAAATTTGCTATGCTTCCAGCTTGCATCAGTCCTGCCGATATCAATGCCGAGGAAAGTCTTAACACTCTGAAATATGCAAATCGTGCTCGTAATATCCAGAACAAGCCTATTGTAAGTTTGTCAGATGACTTTCTTATGACAAGGTTTGCTAAAATGCCCTTTACACACTGTGTTAGTTGGTGAGTACAGTGTTTCATATTCCATGAATTTGGACCAACATGAAACATTCTTGTTTTTGGGTACAGGTTAATAGAGATGTGATATCCAATGAGATGCAAAAGATGCAAGAGCAGCTAAAATTATTGCAGGCAGAGCTTTGCGCTCGTGGTGGAGCTCCATCAGATGAAGTGCTGGTATTTTGCCTGAAATATATTTTTCACTGATTTAAATTAATTTTCTATGCATCTTTTTATGGACACAAAAAGAAATTGGTTGTATAGGTTCTCAAGGAAAGGATTGCTTGGCTTGAGGCTACCAATGAGAATCTTTGTCGAGAACTTCATGGATACCGCAGCAGATGCGCTGTTGTGCAGCAGTTTGAAACAGATGTGCAAGTATGTCATCGAAATTTTACTGTTTATGTCTTTCATACGTGATATTTAGCTGGTTGAGAATTTAAAAATCTCATGTCGGTAGTTAAGCCTTATATCTTAATATATAAAATCTTGAGCTTATACAATCATTGTTTACGGGGTTTTGGGTTGGATGCTCCAACTATAACATGGTATCAGAGCGGGCAATTCATCCACATGTTGGCCCAATTTACCACAGATGCTTTACATCACATTGTCACCCACTGTAATTGATACATGTGTTTGGCTCCAACTATAACATGGTATCAGAGCGGGCAATTTATCCACATGTTGGCCCAATTTACCACAGATGCTTCACATCACATTGTCACCCACTGTAATTGATACATATGTTTGGCTCAATCCAGCCACACGTAAGGGGTTGTCAGGAATTTAAAATTTCCACAAGGAGCATTCTAAGGCTTAGGCTTAAA